GAGAAGCTAAATTTGCGCATGTGTGGAATGTCTACAACTTTCCCGCGCTGTTCTCCCGCTCGATTGATTTCCCGCATTCGCTCTGCTTGGTTTTTTCGTTGTGTCATGGCTTTTTCAGCTCGCCACAAAGTTTTGCTGGCTCAACAGAATGATATTTTATCTGCCCTTCTCATTAGCCAAGAGGCAACAGAACAAGGTAAAAAAAGAAAAATAACGAAATGGTCTAGAGATATTTTTTTGAAAGACCAATACTTGGTTGGCACATATCTTTCTGTACAAAGTAGTATGGAATATTTCTGCATTGTACTCTATACTATAAACATGCACATGCATATTTATGTACTAAATAAAACCTTCTTCAATTTTTATATATAATTTCTCTTAGGAGAAATACGATATTCTAAATATGTCTAATTTTAAAACAAACCTTGAGGATAACTAACAGATAACCTGTATATAATATTTTTCTATTTTGCAGGTGTGAAAGCAGTTAAGCTAAAAACAGTACTTACCATACATTATAATTATTTTATTTATTTTTTTTTTTTTTAAATTTTCAATCAAAAGGAACATGTTTCTGTAACAGCGAAGCATGTGTGCTTAGCACTCCTTATTCACTGTCCCTGTCGATCACTATAGTAGTTTGCTGCACTACCAGTATCAATTATCACTAGTACTAGTATCCCACCACTGGTCACAATGACCAGCAAACACAACTAGTACAATACTAGGAAACGTTCACCCAACAATGTGTTTTATGTTCAATCATTAAATACATTTTGCTGTCTTGCCAGTAGTTTTATACATCTATTTTTAATAATTTGCATGTATAAGCCGCACCCCTGAATTTAATTTCAAGATATGCTGTCATTTCTATTTACGACCAAATCTCAAAAGTAATTTCACATTGACAAATTTTAGGTACCAAGTCTTCAAATGCATCTTCAAATATATCAAAATTATAAACATTCATACCTTATCCAGGAATTTCTACCAGAGAAATAGCATGAATTTAATGATCAAAACTCCATTCAAATGATAGTAATAAAAAGTGGATAATAATAAAAAATACTATTCATTAAATTATAGTCCATATTATGTGTGCTATTTAGTTTCATTAAAAGTAAATTCCTTTCATGGAGAACGTAAATAAAAAACAGAACAGACAAAACTGCACTTCAACAGGAGACAAAACTGTCTAGACTATTGACTGCTGTTTTAAGGATATTTCACTACATTTTTTCTTTCTTGGAATTCATAAGAGCATTTTTCTCAAAAGATTAATCTTTTATTACTTATACAAAGGTTACACTATTGAATTGACTTTTGTGACTATTCTTAAATAAGTGAAAATAATTTTTTTTAAAGTAATATTTTTACTGTTAAAAAACCTGCAGATTTTTTATATTGATTTGATGTTTTAGTAAAATTAATTCATGAAGTTTGTTTTGAAAGAAAATCAGCATTTGAAGCAAATACGAATACAATATTTCCAGCTTTTTTAATAAATTTATTCTTAAATACAAAAATAATTAAACAGGAAAAATTTACAGTAATAATTTAAAAAAATTATAGACAGAAAGAAAGTAATAATAATAATTTACACAGAAAAAATAAAATTTTTGCAAGCATGCATTTTTTAAAGAATTTTCATAATAAAATGAAAAATATTGGAAGGGATCAATCATCTACAGGATAATACACAGCATGCATAATCCTGAGCTTAATTTTCGCTTTACGAGTTTCATCCATAATTTTCAATATAAATTGAAAAACTCATTAAAAAATGCATTAAAAACTCATTAAAAAATGCATGTCATCATCATAGATTTCTTGCGAGATCAACTCTGTATTTCATTCGGATATGATTACAACTCATTCGGATACGATATGTTCCACATTAAAAAAAACGTTGCCTTCGATGTGACAGCGAAATCGTCTAAGAAAGCCGCTTCATTTTAGCTTTGCTCTGATTGGTCGACGCTTATCCCAAACTCGGAGTCAAGTTGAAACCTTGGAACCTTGTGCCACGAGCCCTAAACCAGATTCTGTGACGTAGCAGTGACTGGTTGCCTTGGCAACAGAGCTCGGCTTTAACCACTTATGCCCTTTACGCCTTCGTCTGAACGGGGGCTAAGGAAGCACATCTGCTTGGTTTTCATGGTCGTGCTGCTGTCCATAAGCCTTTGATCACAAAGTCCAACTGCGCTGCTCGGTTAATGTGGTGCAAAGCACATCGAAATTGGACCGTAGATCAGTGGAAACGGGTTCTTTGGAGTGACGAATCAAGGTTCACCCTTTACCACTCAGATGGCAGGGTCTGGGTCTGGCGTCTACCTGGAGAACGTCTCCTGCCAGAATGCATTGTGCCAACAGTCAAGTTCGGTGGAGGTGGAATTATGGTCTGAGGGTGTTTCTCCTGGTATGGGCTGAGACCCTTGGTCCCCATTCATGGTAAGCTCAACTCCGATGCCTACTGCACTATTTTGGATGACAATGTGCTTCCTATGTTGTGGCAGTTTTACGGGTTGGACCCCTGTTACTTTCAGGACGACAATGCCAGTTGTTATGTTTCGATGTTAACCAAGGGTTTGTATGGTGCTAATGGAGTTCATCGAATGGATTGGCCTGCCCAGAGTCCAGACCTGAACCCTATCGAGGACCTCTGGGACGAGTTTCATCGCCGAATTCATGAGTGCACTATCTGTGCAAAATCGTTGAAGGAAGTTCTATGTCTTCTCCAAGCGAAGTGGAAGAAAATACCACTAGCTGTCATACAAAGACTTGTGGCAAGTATGCCCCGGAGGGTCCACGCTGTAGTTACCTCTCGTGGAGGCTGTACCAACTATTGATTTTGAATAAAGTTAGTTTTTCTTTTCTATCACAGGTGTCCAAATACTTATTGGTAGTGAGTGTATTTCATGGCGAGGATGATGAAGATGATAGCCGCGAATTTTAAGGTTTTTGGATATCACAAACTAAAGGTGAAATTTTCCAGTTAACGAATTTTGTAAAGAAATGTGGAGAAGCGGTAATGAATGAAGATGATATAACAGAAGTTTTTCATTGCAATGACAATGCCCCAATCATCAATCAATCAATGGATGGCGAAATCTGTAGTATGGTTTTAGATCCAGAAAATACTGCTTCCGATAGTGAAAGAAGTGACAGAGAGGTTATTGAAAACAAAAAGGTTTTGATTGACAAGTTAGTCATTATGATCGACACAGCAATTACAGGACTTGGAACAGTGGAACTTTGTAACTAAACAAGAAATTATGTCTGTTTATAGAATTAAAGAGAAACTATTAATACAAAAAACGAAGCAACTTAACTTACATTGAAAGAAATTTTTAATAAAGTAAACAAATATTAAGTTTTTTTTTTTTTTTTTTTTTTTTTTTTTTTTTGTAAATTTTGATACGCTCTAGATCATAATTGCTCTTTATTTCATAAATTACGGTTTCATATTTTTAATTTTATAATTTCTGCATGACATCTTACCAGATTTAAACTGATGATCTATAATCTGGAAAAATCGATAATCCGGAATCGCCTAAGTCCCGACGAGTCCGAATTAAAGATTTTTGACTGTATTTACTGTTTCACCAGTACATTATAATGTGTTGAGTATTCCATGAACATGCAAATTTCATATATTTTTTAAGGTACAAAGATATGTTTCCTGATTAAATTAATAAATATTTGCTTTTATTTTATATGGGTCATCAGAATAACAATTAGCTTTATTTTGTAAGATCATATTATTACTTTTTAAAGATATTTTGAGTTTTGGTTTCTATTTATGAATCATATTTCATATAGAAATATTTTGTGTACACAGTATTGCCATTACTTCTGTCAGTACTTTCATTGCATGTAACTACCAAATAAAACTATGCAAACCCATTAATATAAATTCTGAAAAAGCAAAAAATGCTACGGAATGAACATGCTAGTATTTGAAATGATCACCATGTGTGGCAATACCATGGTGAAGACATTGATGCCACTCATGAATAGCTGCACAAATCATGTCTCGCCTGGTTTTTGCTTTGTGTGGAGGAGTGCTGTCCTGCTGAAAAATCCATGATTTTCATTCAAACAGCTTCAAATTGATAAATGGTATTGCCTTTTCCAGCATTATCTGATAGGCAGCTGCAGAAGTCGTTACTTTGCATAATGCACTTTCGATGCTCCCCCACAAGAAAACTGTCTGCCATACTATGCCGGAAATGAAGGCGTGCCCTCCCTGCACATATGGAACTTTCTCTTTTCCTTGCTTTTGAGTACTGTGCATACACACAAACACATGATCGTTTTGCTTGTTAAATGACTTCCACAGTGAATATTTTTTCACCTGTGAATGGGATGTTGCAATATTGCCTCTCTTTATATGTCGCTAATAAAGCCTAGTATGTATCTCAGTGTATCTCCTTTATTTTTCAGTTAGTAAATGCCATATTTACCTTTTGTATGCACCAACATGTAAAAATCATCCTTCGGAATATGGGACATAGCCTGTGGAGATACATCTATTTCTCAAGACAAAATTGTTTGTTTATGCAAAGGATTGCATCGAATTCTTGCACGAATAGCATTCACAGTTTTTTTTTTTTTTCCTACTTACGCACTTAGGATGGCCTGAACTGACACGATCACATTTACAGCAATTTATTTAAATCATGTTATTGTCTGAAACACAAATTGTTCATTGATACTGTGAGGTTTCAGCTTAGAAACAAATTTCTTAGCTCGCTTTCTGCAGCAAAATAATTCCAATACAGCAGTATGATTTTCATATGCTCCCCACTCCATCTTTCACTGCTGCCTGCTATTGGCATGACCTTATTGACCATGACATACAGTATTGGCATGCTTCTTCATTTGCAGTTACCATACTACAACGCTTTTAGATTTTACTGAAAGAACATATGGCAGCACTGTGTATATGTTTGTTGTGTTCTTATTGGTCAATCGAATTCATGTCTTTATTCTAGTCAGCTGAAGGTTTGGAAGTTGTTTGGGAAGGGAGTCAACATGCTAATAAGGATTTTAAAACTGTCCCTCAAACTGAAGATGAAAAGATGGAAGAAGCACAAAATGATGAAGTTCTTTTTAATGATCTTCAACGAGAATGCGAATTTTTTGGAAAAATGGCTGCTAAGTGAGTGATATTTGTTTTGTCATATATGTAAATGAATAAATACAAAGCCAAAAAAAAAAAAAAAATTTTTTTTTTTTTTTTCAAAATCTAATCCAGTTGCCTGCTGATAGCAGCAACAAGTGGTGGTAATAATGCAAAATAAAAAAAAAAAATGCATTTAAAATTTATCCCATATTCAGTTTGGAATAAAACACGTGCAAAAACAAAACGAAAAAAAAAGGGGGGGTGGAGCCCAGTGGCAAACTGCAAGAAATAGAGGCAGATACACTAAAACAGAAAATGAAATTTACATTCTTTGTTTCATCATCGGGGGGGGGGGGTGAAAGAAGTAAATGAATGAAAATTATTATAAAAATTGTTTTCACTACCAAAAACTGCTGTTTTTTGTGATAAAGCTATATCTAAGCTATCATGGCAGTATTGTTTTCATGTTCTTAACACAGTTGGATTAGGCATTCATGTCAAAATTGTAGCATTGATTTTAATTTAGATTAACTGTCAAATAGCTTCCTGTCCCTTTTATTAACAAAATGGGCATACTCATAAAGTCTCAAGAGAGCCTGCTTGAGTGAGTTCTAGATTCTGTAACATTTGATGTCTGATTGTTTTCTGCTTTTATTCTCTTTTAGGTTACCTTTAATTTATGATATTTTTTCTAAATTTCTTTTTAGCATTTTTAAAGTTTACTAGAAACAGCCCTTACTACATTACAATTTTAGTTTTTTAATTTATTTATTCATTACAAATTTTTACTTAAATACAAATTTTTACTTAATAAAAAATTATTGTTTTGGTGTTGAACACAACTTATTCCATTTGTTGAATCAAACACTAGAAATTTTTCATTGAACTGAAGTGAATTTATCCTTCACTTGAACTCAAATTAGTGATAATTTTATCATGATTATAGAGGTAGTTTGATGTTTTTTACTTTTTCAAATAGTCTGTTTTTCTTTTACAATTCTATGTTACAATATAGGTTTAAAAAATTTGGTTTCATTCCGTTGGGGGGGGGGGCGGTTAAAGACATACTTCTTTTTATTTGGCCACCAATTGTTACCAAGTATAAAATTATAAATAATAATAGTATTTTTGTAAGTAATAAGTTTTTATGTAATAAGTATTTTTTATTTCATAATTCTTAAAGTAAATTTTTCTTTTTAATTTTTTAATCTAGAGTATTCTACACATCAATGAAAAATAACAAAATGAAACAAAGTTTAATCTAAACAGGTGGCATAAAATTACAAATATCATTCGATATTGTAGAAAAAATTTCAGTTTTTGTATATAATCGACACTACATAAATTCTATGAAATATGACTGTAATGGTGGCAAGCAGTGTCCTGCTGAAATTTGTTTCTCCATTTAGCACTGCGCCACAGTCACTCTACAGTTTGGTGACAGCATCCAACCAGATGGGGTTTACAAAATTATAGCTGTGATTCGCCGTGAAAAGTTCAGCATTTCTTAATTCCTCTTTTTTTTATATCCGTTTTAGCAGTCTGAAAATATTATACTGCTATCTGCGATGCTTTCGTGGATGGCAGTCATCAATGTTGTAGCACAGTGACTGGGAACGGCAACCAGAAAACATTACTTGCTTCTGGCATAAACCTCCAAATACCCATTGTTCTGGAAGAACACATGCAGTGTTGTTTTTTCTTTTTGTGAAAAGACTTTTGTCTATTTCTGCGATTTTTGCTTGCTGCACCATTTTTTTTTTCTTTTACGAGACATTAAGCTATTTGCACATATCTCCCTCATGTAATTATTCCAGTTTACTATCATACTGTAAATGATTTCTAACTGAAGTGGTAAAATTCATTCGATATCAATTCTTGATACCACAGATAGGTAAAACGAATGGCACTGAGGAAAGAAAGACAAAAGCCTTCAAACCATGTTTTGGTTCTCAATCCTTTTTTGTTTCACAGCAAGAACGTATGTAACAATGCCATATAGGAGCTTTGTTTGAGTCAAAAATGAACTTCATCGAATGATTTTGAGAACAAAGTCAATTGTTGTGAATTACTCCTTTGTCCTAAAGAAATCTTAATAGCAGCCTCTTCATCATTAACTTCCAAAAAATTTTAGAAAGTGATGGTATTTCAAACAAAAACTGGAAATCTCAAGCCACAATATTTGGCATGTTAAAGCATTGTTTTCTTCTAATTTTTTCTTGAATTTTAACTAATGCCGATCTAGCGGAATAGTACCGAATTTTTTTTTATATTTTATTTATTATTTAGCTTATTAAAGTATTTTACTCAAATAGACATCTAGATAACTTAGAATACTTCAAATTTATTCCATCAATTAATCACATTAATTTTTGTTCCTTGAGGAGGATATATTAAAAAAAAAACTTATATAAACATAAACTAAAGGCTTCAATTTAATAGCTAGTCGCACTGTGTAGCCATGCCATAGCTAACTTCCATTTTTCACCTACCTTATATTTAACGTTCTCTTAAATCCTGGCAACTGCAAACAAACATGCTTGCCCTTGGAATTAAGAAAACTCCCGTTCATGGTTGTTACCAAGGTCGATGCATTAAGTAAGTTTATCATAGCTTTTAAAAATTATTCTGGCCTAATTTATTATTTTAAATATGCTGGTTTCATTTAATTGAATATTTTTGTAGATTTTTTTAATATAGGGTATTTCCCTATTTGTTTACATTTTCATTTACATGTTTTATTTACACATTGTTACATGCTTTGGTCCCATTATTGACTAATATATGCATATTGTTCTAATGGTTTTTTACATTTTTAAATAATGTTTTTTCTTTTTATATAAATGTTTCAAATAATTTTTAGATTGATTTTCATTATCTAGGGGAATTCTTGACATTCATATGAGTTAGCTAAATTTAGGGAATTGAAAATTTCATTATAGAAATTTTTAAATTTCATATGCATGGCTAGGACAAAGCACGATGTCTGAGCAGTTGGGAAGAGGATAAAATAAGCTAATTCCTATTAAAGCGTCGCCATTATTTTGCTATGTTTTCAGTAATTTCCTTTTAATTTGCGTTTGTATTTTTGCATCTCAATTTCATTTGCTTTTCCACAACTATTAGCTAGTGCTTGTAAGGCAATTTTCTTCCATCTGTCCTTTTACATTTTTCTTTTACAATATTTGAAAATTCTTTTCAAAAGTACTTTTTATTTTAACTTTTGGTTTCTATAAGATTATTTTTTAACTTTTACTTTTTTCGTTTTCCTATTATGACTGTGTAGATTTGAATTTATGTAGCCTTCAAATTGTAAATCTTAAATTTTTACTTTATTGGAATTGTTGTAAGAGTAATGCCATTTCATTTGATTTTATATATATTAAAATTTGATTTTTATTAATTCATAATTTACATTGCAACTTATTGCAGTCATTGACCTAAACATTACAACTTTTTCCATTTGTTGAAATGAATTAATAATACTTCACTTGAACTCAAATTATTGATCTTTTAGGATAATCCAAGTAATTTCATATTTTTTCTGCATTTTTTATGTTGCAGTGAAGTTTTTTCTAATTGTTTTTATTCAATTCGTTGTTTATCTGTCATTACATGACACATTTCAGTCTTGCCACTGTAGAGGCATACATATTTTTTATTTCAAAACTTCTGTTGCTTTTGTTGATTTTAAGAATTTACTCATGTATTATATATATTTTTTGTTTTGTATTTTTGGATCAAATTTTCAATTATTTTTGTTTTTGCATATCTTAGATTGTTTCTGTTTTGCATGTTTTTGGACTCGTTCATTTATATCCCCCCCCAAAAAAATCTGATTTTGTGGATTTTTTGCTTGTCTGTGATATACGCTGTTATTTTTTTAATCCAACTTGTGTGATTTCAAGATTTGCATATAGTTTGTTATTTCTTATTTTAGATTAAAAACTGTATATATATGTTCGTTTAATATTTGTGCAAATTTTGTTTTGGGACTCGCTCTGCTCAAAATATTTTCACAAACTTATCTATATGTATTTTTTTTTTAAAATATGTATTTTTAGCACTGCTTACTTTGGTATGTAGGGGTTTGACTTACAGGGAGATTGCTTGGTACTTTTCCGTTATACAGGTGGTTTAAAAAAAAAAAAAAAAAAAAGTTAAAATGCATAGTAATATGTTGAAGTGTTGATCGACAATGTGATCAGCTAAGCCATCTCAGTTTTATGAATAAAAACGTGCCAAATATTTGCATATTTTGTTTAGCAGCCTTTTTTAAGAACTGCATGAAACATAATTTGATAAATGACTTTCTTTATGTACATTATTTGACTAAAAGCATTTTTATAGGAGTAATTCTATATAGAGAAAATTAATTTCACAATCTGGGATTTACCTGAAGATGAGTAGAAGGCAGTGAAATTACTGTGGCATAAAGGAATTCTTCATAAGCAACATTTTTGTAAAAATAATTACAAAATGATGTTTTGTTTTACTAATTGCAATAAACCAAAATGGCATTGCTGCCCTTTTAGATCTTGCTGCAGAGAAAAATAAATACGGGCCATATCTCACACTTGGGTTGTAGGATTGCGCTTAAATTTCCTTCAGCTGTAAAATTTATCTACTGTTGGTGCCACGAAGTGACCTAAGTTGAGTTTTGTAATATGCAATTAAAAATGAACCACAGTTTAGTCGTCAACTGGAACTATTATACATGGAGGGTTTGCACTCATGCCTTGTTATGTAGACCTGAAGTTAAAAATTGGTGGAAATAACAGAACAATAGAGGTTCACAATCTTTTTATGAGAAGAAAGAGTGATGTTGGACGTGTTCTTCCTTGACAGTGTGTTTTTTGGAGCCTTCGTAGAGAAGCAAAAGAATGTTCTTGTAGCAGTTTTGGATCACTCAGCTAAAACTTTACATGGCTGAATTGAAAAAATGTTGCAGTTAGTAGTACAATTTTTTCTGATCGCTGGAAAACATAGAAAACAGGATTTAAAATAAGCAGGATGTGATCATCTCGCAGTTAACC